TGTTGTTTGGCGGGCCCGGGCTGGGGATTCGAACCTGCCACCTTAGGTGTATGTGGCTGGCATCTTAGCCGCTTGAGCCACAGGCGCCGAGGCACCAAGCCATTATTTTATGTTTTTGTCTGATAAGTCTAGTATTTAAGTTTGGGGAGGTCTAACTCTGTTGTTTTGCTGGTGTTCTCATGTTGTCTTTTGCCCTTGTTAGTCTTTGGTAGTGAGCATACATTTTAAAAATCTTAATCTGTAGGAATCCTCAGGGCCTACACTGAGATTGCTTTCTTTCACAGAGAATTTTCATTTGCGTCTGCACATGGGGACACTGCAAGCTCTGCATCTTCCCCTTGCCACTAAGGGCTCTCTTGTAGTCTGGACTGTGTCCCCCCCAAATTCACTTGTTGAAGTCCCAACCCCCTGGTAACCTCAGAATGCAATCGTATCAGGGGATAAAGTCTTTAAAAAAGCGATTAACTTAAAGAAGTGATTAACTTGGGCGGTGCCTGTGGCTTAAAGGAGTAGGGTGCTGGCCCCATATACTGGAGGTGGTGGGTTCAAACCTGGCCCTGGCCAAAAGAAAAGTGATTAACTTAAAATGAGTCTTTCAGGGCAGGACCCTAATCCAGCATGACTAGTTCCTCGGAAGAAGAAGTGACACCAGGAAGGTGTGTGCACAAGGATGACCTTGGGAAGAGGGCTTCAAGGTACAGGCCGAGGAAAGTGGGACCCAACCTGCCAGCACCTCCATCTCAGACTTCTAGCCTTCAGAACTGTGAGATAATAAATTTCTCTTAAGCCACTCAGTCTGCCGTATTCTGTTACGGCAACCCTGGCAGACCAATGCAGGTTGTACAGGGCAGTTTGTTAGGGTGTACCTTGAAGTAGTAGTAGCTTTCCTGTGCACTTTTTATTTACCATTTGGATTCAGCCCACATTGTCATGACTGCCCCTGGGAAGTTTCCCTTTCTATAAGCTCACTGATGCAAAGAAAAGTATATTTCCCTGCAGGTCTAGTTTTTTCTTAGGCTATCTATTCAGAGTATCTAGTCTGCCACACTGCCAGAAGTGTCTCAGATTCTGTTGCTTTCTGAAATGCCAATTTATCTCTTTCTTCTTCTTCTTCTTTTTTTTTTTGAGCCAGAGCCTCAAGCTGTCACCCTGGGTAGAGTGTTGTGGCATCACAGCTCACAGCAACCTACAACTCCTGGGTTGAAGCTATTCTCTTGCCTCCACCTCCCAAGTAGCTGGGACTACAGGTGCCCGCCACAATGCCTGGCTATTTTTTGGTTGCAGCCGTCATTGTTGTTTGGCAGACCTAGGCTGGATTCAAATCCACCAGCTCAGTTTATGTGGCTGGCGCCTTAGCCGCCTGAGCCACAGGCGCCGTGCCAAACTCTTTCTTCTATGATATCTTCCTGAGTAATCTCCCATGGGACTCCTTCACTCCTTAAACTCTGAGCAATTATACATGCATTCCTATATTGCCATTCAGGCTTCCTTAGAATCAGCCACTAACTATTTCCTCGAAAACAGAGGTGAGACCTTGTATCTTTGCTCTCACGCAGTTTGTAGGGTAATGCTAGACGCAGCATGTGCTGATTTCGTGTTTCTACAATGAGAGGATATGAAATGAGAAACAAAGGACCAGCAACCTGTCAGCTGTCACTATTACATTAAGCAGGCTGCATAAACCATGGAATTGATTGGTTCTTCAATAATCCAAACATGCTTTAATAACAGAAAGGTCACATCTCAGGCCTGATGCACAGAAAGCCTTTGAGTAGTTAATGAAAAGACCTTTTTTTAACTGGTCATAAACACCCCTAAAGGAAATGAAAATTGAAGCGGATCAAATCAGTAATCCTCATTTATTTAACAAGTCCTGATCTTCACGAGAAACAACAAAAATAATAGAAACTAAATTTATCTCACACTGTCTCATACCGGAAAGGAAAATACAGTCACCTGTTGTGACTCATGAAGTCTATTTAGCAACAATTTCCAGATTCCTCTTCCAATTAAGAAAGGCAGAAGAACCAAGATTGTTTAGTTAAGTCTGTGTCACAATAGGTATTAGATAGACCACAACTACATAAAGTCACTTACAATATGGGGACTTCGTCTATAAACAAATTCTGATTTTAAAAGTTACTGAGATTTTAGGGTTTTGTTATCAATTGTCATTTCATGCAGCCAAAGATATAAAAAAAAAAGGAAATGGAAACGAAGATTTAAAGGTCATATGCCACATGGTCATAATAATTTTATTTGGGTTTCATTTTTTAAAAGCTAACAGAAAAGACCCATTTAAGAAGAAGGGTGAATAATTAGGAAGCTGAAGGGCTGAAGTAGTGGAAAGTCGAGGATGGAGAGATATCAGAGCTGAGAAAGTCAGTTCCCAAGTTTACTTTTTTTTTTTAGACACAGAGTCTCATTTTGTTGCCCTCGGTAGGGTGCTGTGTCGCCACAGCTCACAGCAACCTCCAGTTCTTGGGCTTAAGCGATTCTCTTGCCTCAGCCTCCCGAGTAGCTGGGACTAGAGCTGAATTTTTGAATATTTTTGAATCCTGGCTGAACTTTTAAATATTTTTGTAGAAATAGGGTTTTCTTCTCAATGTTACCAGGCTGGTCTCAAACTCCTTGGCTCAAGTGATCCTCCCACCTCGGCCTCCCAAAGTGCTGGATTACAGATGTGAGCCAGTGCACCCAGACAAGACCACCTTTATGAGGTGACTCAGAAATCTGGAAGCAATCCATTTCCCTTCCAGCCCTAAGGGGCTTCTTGAGGGGTTCCAAACAGGCGTTTGGAATCTGGAAGAAGATAGACAGCTGTAAACTATGTATCACACAGTTCCTGCCTTGCAGCTGGGAGCATTCTATGTCCCTGATACAGAAGTCAGTGCTTAGTGGACTGAGAATCTGAGAATCTGTTAGGTGGTCAAGCTTATTGTTAGGCCA